CCACCAAGCTTCTTCCAGAGACCCACTGAGACTGGGAACAGCTCAGCCAACCCCTTCACTGCTTCTCCTTGCGTGTCCCGTCTTCCAATGGGCAATATTTCCAACTGTTTCACATGGGGCTTTGGAAGGGATGAATTCGTATGGAAAACAGGCTCGCTGAAAGCAAAGTATTATTTGTAACCTGATCTATACTGATGTGGACAACATGCTATTGTAGTTTCCCAGGAAGCATTGACTGCCGGGATCCTGAGGCTCTTAAATTATTATAGGAGGCATTCAACTGAAGGGATCCACTGTGGAATCTATATTTTATTACAAATGCAGCAGATGAGAAACTTTCTATCATTTTGTTGCAATATTCACCTCTATCTTTTGCTCTTTCCTAACTCTTGCCCCATCACTGGCTGGCATGGAATTTCTGAGGATCTTTTAAGAAAAGAATGAGTCACTCTCACATGTACAAGGAGGCTTCATAAAGTTCATGGAAAAAAATTCTATAATCTTTTAATTCCCTTTTTCCATGAACTTCTTGGAGCCCCCTCGTATGTCAGCTGAAATCTGGAGGATTTTCAGTTGGCTTTCTAGTCCCTTGAAGATTTAAAGCCTCGGAAACCCTACACAGGGTGGCTATGAGTCGGAACTGACTTGACAGCATTTAACAATAACACAGAAAATAACCTGTAACAGAGACAGTGTGGGTAGCAAAGAATTAACATCAGATAATTTTTGCTCTAACAAGTTTTTTGTTGTTGTAGTTGTCTTTTTTTCTAGCTGCACAACAAGTCAAAAATTATGATGTTAGGGTAACATATGTGGGAGATGACTACTCATTAAGTCAGTCCAGTGTAACAGAACACCTGGGGGTGTCAACCAAGTGTCAGAATGGTACTGAGGCGAAGAGTTCATCATCCACAGCGAGTTGTGAATTAAGAGTCCAGCTTTACCGCTTTATGGCTGTGTGTTCATAAGCAAGATACTGAAGTTCACTGTGCCTTACTCACCTCATAAGTAGAGATAATAATAATATATACTGAATGAGATGGCTGTGAAGATACATGAGATATTCATGAAAAGTGTTTGTTCAGTAATTATGCATGACTGCAGATACAAGGTGAATTACCAGGGCTGGTGGAAAGACAGGTCCATACACAGAAAATTTCAATATAGTGATTAAAAAACGTCCAGTTAAGAACTGTCCTTTGGATGCAGTCATGAGTTTTGGTATCATGGTGGTGGTGGTAGTTATTAACTGTTCTCTGGTTGACCCCTGACTCATGGTGGCCCCATATACAACTGAACAAAATGCTGCCTGGTCCTTCGCATCTCCATGATCAATTACAGATAGGACCATTGTGATCATACAGTTTTCATTGGCTGATTTTCAAAAATAAATTGCCAGGCTTTTCTTCCTAATCTCTGGTGGTCTGGAAACTTCATTGAAACCTGTTCAGCGTTAGCAAGTCAGCAGCATTCTAAAACTAAAACAAACAAAAGTCTTCACAGTCAAGACTGTGAACAATGTTCAAATTCCCCCAGTTTTCTAAAGGGGTTCGCTTGTGAACTCTTATTTAATATAGGCAAAGGCACTTAACAGCAACAGCAAGCCCTATTGGCATCTGAGTAAATTTAGAAGTAAAAATAACTTTTTGACAAAAACAGCAGGGGTTTTTTGTTGCTTTTTTTGGTTGTTTTTTTTTTTTTTTTTTGATGCTTGCTTGTTTGTTTTTTGGCAAGTTCACAGAAGAAATAATTTATCAGTGCATAGAAGCACTCTCCCTCCATTATGTTATTTTTAATTTAAGAAAGAAAGGAACAGATGCACTTTATTCTGAAATGTGGGTGCCAGGAAGCCTGTTCAAGCATCAGGACGTTTACAATAGGCCTATTGAGGGAGATGTGTGCCCTTTACTTCTTGGACAAGTGTAAGTCAAAAAGGCTTTCCAACCTAAGTTAAGATCATTTCCCACAGGGAAAAGCAGAAATAAAACTGAAGGATAATAGGAAAGCTTGTCAGTTTTTGGCATACTCTTACCTGAGACCCACCTTGAGCACTGCCAAAGATAGTGCAAGAGGTACTCCATCTTCAGAGCCGCTTTCAGAGAAGCCAGAGTATATATTCTGGGTATCTTGGTTGTCACTCACATCCACCAGGGGGCGCACTGAAAACCTCACATTACTTTCAGTTTCAGTACTATCGCAACAGAAAGAGGAGTTATGAAGGCTAAATGTGACAATTGACTCATGGTATGCTCTCAGTAAATGTTAGTTTCTCTCATATTGCCCACCCAAATAACAAATAATCACCAGAGTAAAAATAAACTTACTTTGGCAGACGTCTCTATCTCCCCTGTTCTGCAGTTCTTTGGGGTTCACAGTGTGTTTCCTTGTAACTTGGGGCCTGCCTATTGGCTCTGAAAGAAAAGAATTCTGTGTCTCCACCCTGCCCAAATTGCTTAACTCATGTCAGGTGTTGATGCTCCTCATTAGAATGTACCACAAGCTCACAATTGTAGAAGTTACCTTGCAACTTTTGGCCAGAAGAGTGATCGGGATTCTATTATGAAGAGCAGTTCTGTTTTGCCGAACAACTTTCAGTAGAGCATCCAGACTAAGAGAGACTAGGAAGAAAGGCCTGCCAATCTATAACCAGCCAACAAAGAGCCTATTGACACAATGATCCAATCTCTGTAATCATGGGGATCATGGGGATGGCACAGGACCGGACAGCATTTTATTCCATTGTACATGAGGTCACCATGAGCCAGAGCCCACCTGACAATAGCTAACACCACCCAACGTTGTAACAGAGGCCTAGAAGTCAGGAATCCTGTATTTCACTTCCGGTTCCTCAGTTGTACCTTAAGAAAGTAATTTCACATCCCTGGGCCTTTGTTTCGCTATTTGTACAATGAAATGTTGAATTAACTGTTAATCTGTAAAATCCATTCCTGTTCTGTGGTCCTGCGATGCTATTCCATTCCACGAGGGCCAAACTAATTACACTCATTTTACTGTTGTCCAGCTGGCGAAATACCGGTTTTTCATTTAAGTGAACCCTGTTGGGCAAGTTAGGCTTGTTTTCCAAAGTTGGTTCTGGAGAACAATTATCTGAGAGAGAATAACCTTTATCCTAAAACTTGAACTTACACAAGCATACTGCACGGGCTACCATAGTGACTTGCATGAATACCTCTAGTTCATCCTCACTGTTTCACTGAGATTTTCCATTCTAAAACATGGAATATTGTGGAAAAATAGATTGTCTAGGTCTGAGCCATCCATACTTGCTGGGAACCTTCATTCATCTTTCTGATCCACATCTCTGTTTACTAGATTAGTGTGACTCAGCCACATTTTCCCAGCCATCACTGTTTCAGTTCATTGAATCCAAGACAGCTTGACATGTTCTCCCTTCTTTCAGTAGTTTATCTTCTGTTTGAATGAGATTTGTTGGGTGCCTATGCAAGAGAGTAAGAAGGAAATGATAAAGGCATGTTTTCTAGTTAGAGCTGTTTCCTTAATTGTTCAAGTGAGATGGAAACCCCTTTGGCCTCTAGCATGTGTGAGCTCAGTTGACTGTTGGGGACCATATTGGGGTTGGAATTCATGGGATTGAAGGGAGCTAATAGTCCTGGTCCTGGATTTCCAAAAGAGACAGTTAACAGAGGATGGGGAGAGAGATAACTGAGGGAAGGATCTTCCTCAGCCAGCTTTTGATTTTACTTAAATGATTCCATGTTGTTTACTAATAGGAGTTTAGAACACCACCGTTTAAAATGCACTTGCTTATTTTAATCCACATGATAACCATATAAGATCAGATGTAATGGAGGTTTGCGATGCTCACACTCTTGGCCCATGCCAGTTGGACCTTGTGGGTCCAGAAGAGTACCGAGAACCGAATCTGCCTTAATGAAGCTCCCAGCAACTGACATAAAAGCTGGAAGCTCTTGAAGTAATTTACAGCTGTTGGGTCAACCAGAAAACTTGAGTCAGCAGATCGGAACATGCACTCCCAGAATGCTAATTGGTTCAGAAGCCAAATTGTACTCAGAAGGCCAATTTACTCACTTCAAGTATAAAGTACAAATCTAAAGTGGACCAGATGTTCAAATTAGTTCAGTCTCGTGTGACAGATAAATGACTTAGGAAACCATATTATTATTACTTGATAAGCAGGGAACCAGAGCAAGGGACATTTGCTGATCATAAGGTGTGCCTCTCAGCAAAGGCAGCTGAGATAAGCTTGCCAAGAAAACTGTCACACTGACGTCTGGTTAGCCAAGCTTTCTTCATCTCTCTGATTGAGGCACAGATGGGCAACTGCCAATGCTGGTCTCCCCAATTTTCTGTGCCGAACATTCTCCATTTCCTGTGTTTCTGTTTTCCATGCTCCTTGCCCAAACTGGGTTGCAATACAAGTAACTAATTTTTAGCTTACTTTCTAGGATTGCTCCCAAGTAATCTCAATAGGAATTTTTGCAGTTATAAAACTTGCTAGTCAGACATTTATAAACAGTGTCTGAGTTTCCTAGTACAGATGGCTAATCCAATTCACCATGTGTGGATTTTACTAGTTTAGCTTATGAAAATCTTCTTTTTTGCTTTTTAAAGTAGCATTACACTTTCTATAGTTACAAAAAAAAGTTCTACTGTGTGTGTGTTCCTCAGATTTAGAAATGGAAATTCAGAGGGGCTAAGCACCTTTCTGGGTCATGCAGCTGGTGATTTGTAGATCTTCTGAGTTAAGACTCCATATGTCCTCCATTGGGGGTGATCAAATTAGGTCCTGTTAGTAAGTTTCATTTTGAAGCAGGAAAGGAAAATCAGTGCATTTTAAAGAATTGTTTAGATAATGATTTTATTTCCAAATGAGAGGGTGCAATAGCAGTATGTGGTGGAAGATAAATGAGAAGACGTGAATGAGATGCAGATCTAGACACCTTCTATCTAGTGATCTTGTAGAAGAGGAAATAGCAACTGGATGTGTTTTGTTACAGAGCCTGAGTGTGTCAGAGGCAAGAGGAAGAATCCTCTACTATCAAGTGACCTTACAGGAGATGGCCGGAGGGAAGGCCATGCTACAGAACATCTCAGGACGTACCTCCTGGACCTGGGTCATTCCCAGAAGTGGGAAATGGGCTGTGACTGTGTCCGCAGCCAACTCAAAAGGCAGTTCCCTGCCAACTCATATTAATATAACGGACCTGTGCGGGGCAGGTAAGTAGCAACTGCTCTTTGATATTGCCTGTGGGAAACTGTACCTTACTCATCTCTTATCTCCTGCAGACTCAGCCCAGGGCCTGGCATGAGTAAGTCTGGAGTCAGCAGCTTTCAGAGGCTGTCTTTTCCACCTATGAGTGGCCTTGGGCAAGTGAATTCACACTTTTTCTCCAAATTTCTCCATCTTAGATAGGGATTGTATTTCTTGTTTTGCAGGTCATTGTGAGAATAAATACAAAGATGAATACATAGCAGGTGCTTACTAAATGCTAATTAAGGAAATTGTTGTTGTTTGTTGTTAAGCGCCTTGGAGTCTGGATACATTAAATTGTTACTAAGGTTGACAGAAGGAGCTTTGGTGGTACAGCAGGTTGGGCTGCTAACCACAAGGTCAGTGGTTCTAACCCACCACATGGGACTGCTCGGTAAAGAGTTACAGTCTCAGAAACCCTATGGAACGTTCTCCTCTGTGCTACAGAGTCTCTCTGACTTGGAACCGACTCAAGAGCAGTGGGTTAATGTTGACAGAAACCTGAACAATACAAGGGGCCTTCAAAAGGTTTGTGGAAAATGGAATGAAAAGATAATGGAATCTTCCCATAAGCATTTTGAAGCCCTCTTGTATCCTTGTATGTGTGTTATAGCAGCTTTGTTGTTGTTGTTGTTAAGTGCTGTCAAGTCGGTTCCGACCCATAGCAACCCTTTACAGGGTTTCCGGGGGTGTAAATCTTTACTGGAGTAGAAAGCCTCATCTTTCTCCCGCGGAGCGGCTGGTAGTTTCGAACCGCTGACCTTAAGGTTCGCAGCCCTATTCGTAACCACTACGCTACTCAGGATTATTAAGCTGGTTGGCTTGGAGGAGCTAACTTCTCCAGATTCTGAGTCTCAAGTGTAGGTTCGATGCAGACGTATATAGTGATAGAAATGTGACCTGTTTGCGGACAGTGGGTATTTCAGAAGATTGGTCCCACTCAGTAACCTGATTAACATTCTAGATTGTCTCCTGGGCAGGGAAGAGGTAGTCAATAGTTTCTGTTTATGTGCTGTCCAGTTCTAGGAAACAGACAAACAACAACAAAGACTTTGCACCTGTAGTCAAAATATTTTTTAGCCAATGGCAGTGATGGTGTTGTGCCAAGGAGTCGATTCTGACTCATAGCAACCCTGCATAGGGTTTCTGCGGCTGTATATCTTTACAGGAGCAGAAAACCTTATCTTTCTCCTGCAGAAGGGGAGAAAGTTTTGAACTGCTGACGTTGAAGTTAGCAGCCCGATTCGTAACCGCTACGCTACCAAAGTTGTAATGAAATTATAATAAAATTCCACTGAACTGCAGCTCTTCATTACACAAATATAGATATGTATCCAATTATCTCTATTTCTGAACTCCAATCTAAATATAGATTTACACATTTCACCAGTAAACTCACATCCTCTGAAAATTTCCTTCTTAAAATAAAAGTTCACAATTAGCCAAGAAAAATGGATTATTAATATTGTTTCTCAAGATTAACAGTCTAACTTAAAAAAAATTTTTTTTTTCCTTAGGGTGAAACCCACCAGACACGTCTTTCAAATTCAGTGTAACAAATTATTTACAAGCAGACCTAGCAATCATTATTTTGAATAAGCTTCTACCAAAACATTATTATTTTATGTGCACTGTTAAATCTTGGTTATATGTATTTTCACTCATATATCTGTAAATACATGAATAATATACCAAAGCCAAGCCAAACCCATTGCCATTGAGTTGATTCCGACTCATAGCAACCCCATAGAACAGAGTAGACCTGTTCCATAGGGATTTAATGTATTAATTTAATGTAACTTATTTATAAGTTGGGTGCTAATGCAAGGTCAGTAGTTCTAATCTACCAGTTGTTCCACAGGAGAAAGATGAGGCTTTCTGCTACCATAATGGTGTATAGCCTCAGAAACCCTCTTCAGAGTCGCTCTGAGTCAGAACTGACTTGGTGGTACACAATCACTACCACCACTATATTTACGAGATCAGACAGCCTCACCTTTCGTTCACAGAGTGGCCTGGCAACAGTGACTTATTTATTTCTCATTAAAGAAGTCCAGAGGTAGGCAAACCATGACTGGTGTGACAACTTCATGACCTCATCAGGAACGTAGGCTTCCTCTACCTGTCTTCCTTTATTTAACAAGCTTAAGATGGAAAGGGTCCAAGATGGCTGCTGGATCTCCAGTGATTTATTGCAGAGCTTTGGTAGCGTAGTGGTTTGAAATCGGGCTGCTAATCTCACAGTCAGCAATTCAAAACTACCAGCTGTTCCGCAGGAGAAAGATGAATCTTTCTGCTCCCGTAAAGATTTACAGCCTCGGAAACCTGTACAGGGTCGCTGTGAGTCCGAACCGACTCCACGGCACATAACAAAAACAGGCAGCAGTAGTCTTGGTGTGGCGCTGTGGGTTAGTGCGTCGGACTGCAAAGCCGTTTGAACTGCAAGATCGGCGGTTCAAGCTCACCAGCTGCTCTTTGGAAATCCTACACAGGGTCACTATGGGTGGGAATCGACTCGATGGCACGTAACAACAACAGCAGGAGTCCTGGTGTGACACGATAGGATCAGCGCTGGACTGAGAACTACAAGGTCAGCAGTTCCAACCTACCAGTTACTCCTTGGAAACCCTATGGTCTCTATGAGTTGGAACCAACTGGACAGCACTTAACAACAATAATAGGCAGCAGGAAGAAGTCCTGGTGTGGCGCTGTAGGATATGCACTCAACTGCAAGGTCGATTTGAGCCACAAGGTCGGCGGTTCAAATCCATCAGCTGCTCCTCAGAAAACTTGACAACACTTAACAACAACAACAGGCAGCAGGAAAGAAGATTGAAGAAAAAAGTGTACCTTCCCTTCACTATTGAATACCTTTGCCCCAAATCACACACAATATGCACTCATAGGTCAACTGATCAACTAATCACACTTTCAGGCATTAATATCAATTAAATCAGTAGCTGAAGAGTTGATTCAGACCCATGGTGACCCCAGGTGTTTCAGAATAGAGCTGTACTTCATAGGGATTTTAGTGGTTGAATTTTTATAAGTAGATTGCCAAGTCTTTCTT